AGACATAAACTCAAGATGGCTACATTTCTTTCATCCTATATTCTTTTTTTTCTTCCCTTGTTTTATGCACTGCAAGTTTCTTCATTAATAAATCGATGGAACCTCAAACATTGATTACACTTATTATTCATATCCTCAAATGATATCATATTTTGAGGGCTGCGCAAGTACGAGTACAACTTGTACCACGCGGTTCACAGCTGGGTGTGGGGTGTGGGTGTGGGTTGGGTGTGAGGTTAGTCAACTTCTCTTCACTCACACCCACACCCAACCCACACCCACACCCACACACACGCCACACCCACATCCAGCCGCACCCACACCCACGCCCACCTCACACCCACATCCTCAAGAAACCAACGGTACAATAATTTTGAAATTCACCCATATACTTTGCAGTACAAAGGATCATATAATTGGTACTAAAGTCCTACGGTAATTCAGAAAGAAAACGATTATTGCATTATTGTGGTAAAGAGGCTTGTTTGATATGTTTGCTTTACTTTACCTTCTGTTTTGATTGTCGGTACCATTGCTGCTGGCACTGTTACTTTGTAATATTTCAACGTTGAAATCGCAGGAGTTATTAATTGAACATCACTCATATATTGAACAACATTTCTGTGCATTATACTTTCATCTTTTTTTACTTGTTTTTACTGTTCTGATGGTATAAGTCGTACAAAATAAAAAAACAACCTCTAGAATTGTCAAACTATTGTGCTTCTTTAGATACAGATTAGTATTTAAGCATAGTGTAGTTTATAGAATGACCTGTTTAATAAGAAATATGATTGGACAAGAAAGTAATCATGTCAATTTAGATACTCTATCCCAAACCTGAGACAAAGAAAACGTATTCTGGTATGATAAATTTTATTGTATCGAAACCAATATATGGCAACTGAATTATTAGCTAATCAGGTCTAATTTAATTGAATGTTGTTGACGTGATATAAGTGCCCAATGTCAGCAGAATACATATAATACTTCACCATCATATAACTGATAAAAACATCTATTTTTCTAAATAAACTTTATTTTAGTTTAAGATTCTAATAATAAAGCAAATAAAAAGATAGAATTATGATAAAATAATATTTTAGTTTTATCTTTTCGTCTTTCTTTTTGTGAGTAAAATATTGATTTAAAACTAAAAAAAAGTGGTTTGATTTTATGATAGTTTAGCAGTATATGCTTCGTACGCAACACCACACATCTTGTAAGCATCTTTAATTGTACGTATATAACCCTTTTCACCCCACCCTGCTCCATAAGAGTTCTTTATTATCCAATAAGGTAATTTAAGTCCTTCATCGTAACCATAACCTATAATAGCCATAGCATGATCCATTGTGAACAGTTGACTTTCACAAGTTCTCCTTTTAAATACACCTTTCTTTATAAAACATAAAACCTAGGAAATTTGAGTTTATTCCAAGGTATATTGGTCCATTATTAGTAATTGCTTCAGCTAGTTTTTCTTCATCGTCTACAGGAATTGTTTCAAGTTGAACTTCACCTAGATCAATTTCGTTAATACCATTTATTTGACATGATTCTTCGGTGTAATTATAAGGATAAGAAGCATCTGTAGCTATTTTATTACCTTTTTTTTTAATATAATTCATAATATTGTCAATTCGGCCACCATTACAACCATTCTCTTTTGAACAATTAACTATTTGTTGTGGACTAAATTCAATAACTTTGTCAGATTTTGTTTTTATAGCATAGAGTGATTCTAGAACTGCAGTGGCAGCAAATGCATAACAAAAGGCACAATCACCTTGATTTTTAACAGAACTTACAACATTTTTTGTTCGCCAATCAACTGTATTATTTGGTTTAGTATTAGCACTATTTCTATTAAAATATTTGTAAAACCAGTCATCCCCGAATCGTTTATCTTGATGTCGACGTTTTCGTAAATTTCGTCTTAATCTTTTTGCTTCATAATGGCGTTGATGAAGCTTTGCTGAACTAATTTGTAACGCATCTTCATCTAGTTCATCATCCATTGTACGTCGTTGTAAATGAGATGGAACCTTGGCACCAGTTTTGTATGTTCTGAATTCTGCTAATGTCCAATCAGAAAATCGATTCAATGTTAATTGATATGTATTTGATTCTTGAAAATTTGATAATATTACATATTTTAGATGTTTGATAAATAGTCTAAGACGTGATTTTTCTTCTCCTACAATCGGAAGAAAACAATTAGGGTTGTTCTTTGTAAAAATTAATCAGTGTTTTCTTTATAAACTAACCATCTGATGGATATAAACAATGATATTTTGCTTTAAAAAATGACCAAATTTGACGGATAACTGAGTTATTAAGCTTCACTCTATGACCAAGAAGTTTAATTTTACCATCATGTACAAAGCTATCAACATAGTCTTGAAGAGATGTACGAGCAAGAAGTTGATCAGTAGATGTACAGAAACCAATAAGAAGGACAAGAGTGAATAATATTACATATAACTTCATAGTTGGACTTTATGTAAAACCAGCGAAATGAAATACAACACTATATATTCTCCCCTTTATATATATATATATGCATATGTATAGATATTCAAGGTATACTGATTTTTTTTCGTTTCATTGGATATTTAGAAGAATTAATCATCCGGTCTTTCACTTGTCATGTACACAATTAATCAAGCACAGAAAGCAAAT